GATTGTCTAAAATGGGAGTTGGCAAATGTTCAAGTAAAATAAAATACAAATTTCGACACAGAGGCGAGGCTGCAACTTCACAAACACGAGCGAGAAATCGGCAAAGATACAGGAGGTTCGAATTCCACAAAAACTCAATTTTTGGATACTAATTTGAAATGTAGTAAACTTTGCATGTAATAAATTAGAATGTATTGAAACAAATTGCGTATAAATATTCATTTCAGAAATCTCGCGAAGTATATCTCGCTCAAAAATTTCCGAACAAGATTTCAAGTATTATACTGTTGTATGAAAAGTAAATAGCTTTTTTTTCTGTTCAATTGATGAGTTAAAGAAGCATCAATTGTGTTATTTTAGGAGAGATTGACGGAGCCTGGCCTTTTCTCGACATCTTGGTGACGAGAGCAAATGGTAGGTTTCAGACGTCCTGTTACTCTAAGCCCACGGACACAGGGCTGTCGTTGAGCTACCATGCAGTTGCTCCAAACAAATACAAGCGGAACATCGTCTAAGCCACTGTCCACAGGATTCATCATGCTACGTCGACGTGGCAGGCTTTCAACGACGGTCTTGAGAAAGCCACAGCGAATTGGGCGGCGAATCAGTATCCACCTTCTTTTTACTCCCCCATTGTTCGTGCCAATGCTGAGAAGATTTTGGAGACGAACGTCAACACACTGCAGAAGGCTGCATGCAAAACGTAGAGAAGCGCCGTCGTCTTGCAGTATAGAGGTCGTGGGTCTCACAAGTTCTCCAAACGCCTCAGCAGCTACCGGAGTCTCAGTTATCATCACTACGAGGAAGCTGAAATCCTGTCTGCACTCATTGAAGTGTCCCATTCCAGAGGAACTCAGTAGTCGGGTTATTTATCAACTCACGTGTACAGGTTGCAAAGCCTGCTATGTCGGCCAAACCAGCCGGCATTTTAAAACCAGACTACAGGAGCACCGAAGGGCCGGCTCACCTGTTGGTGCCCACCTGCGAGAGTGCGGAGACGATAATTTTTCACCGGATTTGCAGTGCAAGATTCTGGACAGGAGCATTGACAACCAGAAATTGCTAGGTCTCGAAGCCCCCTACATCTCGAGGAAAGCTCCAGCCCTAATCAGTGAGGAGTACCGGCAGCGCCAGCTAACGCTGCGCTTCTAATCTATTTGTTGTATTAACGTTTCATGTCAACTCAAATTGTGCTTTTTTATTGTCTGATTTTATGTGGTTTTTTATTGTTTACGATGTTGGTTGTTTTTTCTTTCAGTTGTTCTGATGATGTCTTAATTAACGAAAACGTTCAAGCATTGATACTTGGTTTTTTCTCGTGTGTTAACTTATTAATTATCAAATGCCAAGACACACAAATATACTGCTAATGCAGCCTACTAATTCAAAAGTGCCACCAAACGGAGCATTTTTATTTGCGACTTAAGTTCGTAAAAAAATTACATAGTACTATCACACTAAACTATGCTCGTGTAAAGAGAACGGGCACGTAAATCGCAGACATGCTCACAATTTGTTTGTTAGTTGACGGAAGAACAGATAAATGACCATAAGTTTCAGGCATCTTGTGAACAAAGTTATTTAACGGGAAAAAAGTCTATCACCCGGTTGCAATACCGTTGCTTATCACAAGAGTAACCATAGGTCAAAGTGCTAAAACATGAAATTGAGCATGAAAAGAAAATCAAACTACCACACGGCAAAAAGAGTGAAACTTCACTTGTTCGTTAACACTAATTAATTAAAACGTTTCATCGACAAAGAATGAACTGGGCAGATCTCAACTAAAATTGCTATTCGTGACTATTGGAGAATTTGTCGAAAATAAAATAATAAGCAAAGGAATTGATTACAATTAATTGTTCAGTCAAGGTTTTTCTTACCGAATTCTGACTTAACTTATGGCAACTTTGAAAAGCCAAAAAAAAACAATCGAAAACCGTTCAATCAAAACATTGATCGGATCTCGGATCAAGTTAACAACCTCCTCCAAAAGATACGCTCGGTTAAGATCCAGCGTTAAATTTGACTAAGTTTGCTAAGCGCTGCGTCTACAATGCTCGATTCTGTTTATCACAAGAGTAACCATAGGTCAAATTTTAAATCATAGCCAACTGACAGATGGAAAAGATAATAAACGCAATGAAACTGAAACAAAAACTGACTAGTTTTTTCAAAAATCTTCTATTTTTGAAATTCGAAGAAAAAAAAGATGGCCTTAAAGCTCTTTAAATTTGTAGATTAATTTATGATGGACACTTTTTTGTCAAAATTAAGACAATTCAGAAAACTGGATCAATAGGCAAAACTTTCATTTCACTGGGAAATGTGATAATTAATTTCCATTTTCGAAACTAGAAGTCGATCACGTTTTTCGTGAGCTTTACAATTTTGCTGTTCGATAGTGGACTTTGCCTTCAATTTAACAATGGAAAAGCACCACAATTAAAAAGAAATCTCAAGTCGAACCGCGAAAAAACAAAACTGAGCGTGAACAAATTTTAAAAATTTTCCTGAAAAAAAATCAGCTTTAAAACACATAGGCGAAGCGAAGCTTCGCACCACTTGCGATACAACCCAAACAAAGCAGCCGGTAGAAATTGAGTTAAAACTACAAAAACCGTTGCCAAAGAAATTTCATAACAAAAATTTTCCTATTTTTGTCTCAAATAAAGTTCCTTTTCAACAAATTATGCCCAGTTAGACATTTGAATGTTCAATTAGCATCAATCAAAACTTTCAGAGCGGTAACGAAGCCGAAAATTCTTAAGCAGATAGGTTCAGTAAAAAAAACTTCAGACGACTGAAAAACTGATTGTCTAAAATGGGAGTTGGCAAATGTTCAAGTAAAATAAAATACAAATTTCGACACAGAGGCGAGGCTGCAACTTCACAAACACGAGCGAGAAATCGGCAAAGATACAGGAGGTTCGAATTCCACAAAAACTCAATTTTTGGATACTAATTTGAAATGTAGTAAGCTTTGCATGTAATAAATTAGAATGTATTGAAACAAATTGCGTATAAATATTCATTTCAGAAATCTCGCGAAGTATATCTCGCTCAAAAATTTCCGAACAAGATTTCAAGTATTATACTGTTGTATGAAAAGTAAATAGCTTTTTTTTCTGTTCAATTGATGAGTTAAAGAAGCATCAATTGTGTTATTTTAGGAGAGATTGACGGAGCCTGGCCTTTTCTCGACATCTTGGTGACGAGAGCAAATGGTAGGTTTCAGACGTCCTGTTACTCTAAGCCCACGGACACAGGGCTGTCGTTGAGCTACCATGCAGTTGCTCCAAACAAATACAAGCGGAACATCGTCTAAGCCACTGTCCACAGGATTCATCATGCTACGTCGACGTGGCAGGCTTTCAACGACGGTCTTGAGAAAGCCACAGCGAATTGGGCGGCGAATCAGTATCCACCTTCTTTTTACTCCCCCATTGTTCGTGCCAATGCTGAGAAGATTTTGGAGACGAGCGTCAACACACTGCAGAAGGCTGCATGCAAAACGTAGAGAAGCGCCGTCGTCTTGCAGTATAGAGGTCGTGGGTCTCACAAGTTCTCCAAACGCCTCAGCAGCTACCGGAGTCTCAGTTATCATCACTACGAGGAAGCTGAAATCCTGTCTGCACTCATTGAAGTGTCCCATTCCAGAGGAACTCAGTAGTCGGGTTCTTTATCAACTCACGTGTACAGGTTGCAAAGCCTGCTATGTCGGCCAAACTAGCCGGCATTTTAAAACCAGACTACAGGAGCACCGAAGGGCCGGCTCACCTGTTGGTGCCCACCTGCGAGAGTGCGGAGACGATAATTTTTCACCGGATTTGCAGTGCAAGATTCTGGACAGGAGCATTGACACCCAGAAATTGCTAACTCTCGAAGCCCCCTACATCTCGAGGAAAGCTCCAGCCCTAATCAGTGAGGAGTACCGGCAGCGCCAGCTAACGCTGCGCTTCTAATCTATTTGTTGTTTTAACGTTTCATGTCAACTCAAATTGTGCTTTTTTATTCTCTGATTTTATGTGGTTTTTTATTGTTTACGATGTTGGTTGCTTTTTCTTTCAGTTGTTCTGATGATGTCTTAATTAACGAAAACGTTCAAGCATTGATACTTGGTTTTTTCTCGTGTGTTAACTTATTACTAATCAAATGCCAAGACACACAAATATACTGCTAATGCAGCCTACTAATTCAAAAGTGCCACCAAACGGAGCATTTTTATTTGCGACTTAAGTTCGTAAAAAAATTACATAGTACTATCACACTAAACTATGCTCGTGTAAAGAGAACGGGCACGTAAATCGCAGACATGCTCACAATTTGTTTGTTAGTTGACGGAAGAACAGATAAATGACCATAAGTTTCAGGCATCTTGTGAACAAAGTTATTTAACGGGAAAAAAGTCTATCACCCGGTTGCAATACCGTTGCTTATCACAAGAGTAACCATAGGTCAAAGTGCTAAAACATGAAATTGAGCATGAAAAGAAAATCAAACTACCACACGGCAAAAAGAGTGAAACTTCACTTGTTCGTTAACACTAATTAATTAAAACGTTTCATCGACAAAGAATGAACTGGGCAGATCTCAACTAAAATTGCTATTCGTGACTATTGGAGAATTTGTCGAAAATAAAATAATAAGCAAAGGAATTGATTACAATTAATTGTTCAGTCAAGGTTTTTCTTACCGAATTCTGACTTAACTTATGGCAACTTTGAAAAGCCAAAAAAAAACAATCGAAAACCGTTCAATCAAAACATTGATCGGATCTCGGATCAAGTTAACAACCTCCTCCAAAAGATACGCTCGGTTAAGATCCAGCGTTAAATTTGACTAAGTTTGCTAAGCGCTGCGTCTACAATGCTCGATTCTGTTTGACTAAAAATTACACTTCAGAACCAAATTAACAGCCATCCGCCTAATTGGATTTGGCGGAGAGTATTTGCGGGGTTTGTTAACTTACCTTTACCACAGATGAAATTGAAAAGTACCTTGTCTATTAAAAGCCTCGAGCAGAAGTAGCAGAAACATCGCATGACTTTGATCGTCGTCGCTAGCCAACCCACGTGAAATACAGGCCGCGCAAGTTCCAAGTGGCCAAAATGCCCCGGACAGTCAAAGTGATTTCCAGCACATGTTTGACATCTGGTGCCTTTGTCTACCACACCTTGTCTCGGATCCATCAGTCCCCCAAGTTTAGGCTTTCCAGCTTCATAGACCTCAGAGTATCGCACGCCTCCATCGACCACAGACATTGCTTTGATCTCATCCGGTCCAAGTATGCCAAATTGCACCCTTTTGACAACCCTGAGCGATGCAGAAGATTCATTTGCGGCGTTTCTCGCCATATGGAGGAAATTAACTGACCCGCAAGTAAATCAAAAAATCAATCTGAAACATATAAAACAAAATCATCCAACGGTGCGTATTCATAGGTTCCAAAATAAAAAATCAGTCCCATAGGTTCCAAAATAAAAAAGCAGTCGCATAAGTACCAAATCTTTTCAATTGGTCAAAAGACTAAATTAGCCGAGTCTCGGTTTGAGGTCGCCGGTGGGCGCGCTACGCCGCTTCGGGGCGATAACCGGCTCTAAATTTCGTGGCAAGCTCGCAACACGTTGGTGGCAAGCTTTGGTGGCAAGCTCGCAACACGTTGGCGCGGCTGCAGCTTGACTTTATGCTAGTTGAACAGTAAACAATCAATCCGTAAATTCGCTGATTCAAATTTCAACAAATCAGAATTCAAGAAGATAAATTTTGGAACTTATGCGACAGATTTTTTATTTTGGAACCTATGAATATTGGAACCTATGGGAATTCACCCATCCAACACTCACAAATACAAGTGGTTTTGGCTCAATATATGTAAAGAAAATCTGATTTGATGATAACTTTTAAACATTTGCAAAGAACAATAAAAAACAATAGTATGATTCGAATCAATTCGAAGGAGATAACATTTCTCTTAGAAAAAAAACTTTTCTCTTACGAGGCCGCCGCTTCAGTATGAACCATTATCGCAACCGCTTCATTCAGTTGAACTTTCCATCTCAGATTTGATAAAATGGTCCCTTCCGTCATGCGACGGTCCGACAAAAATAACGAAACTGAAATGAAGAAAGGGGCTTGGTTTTGTCATAGGTGTGCCAGTCGGAAATATTTGGAAGTTTGACATTGAGCAACGCAAGAAACATGATTTTGCGGTGAAATGAAATTTTTCAAAAAATCGAATTGGACATGTCATGCTCAAGTTTCTCGCGACAACTGAAAATATCAGAAATATAACATCAGAAGAACCGATTTACAATCGCGGGAAAGTAGTCGAAAAAAAAGCAGCGGAAAATTGCTATTCGCAATTTCCAGACATCAGAATACACGAGAGTAGAGCTGTCTTCGAAACAGAGGACAGAGCGATCGCGAACAAAAGAGAAACAGATTAGAAGTGGACCAGAGTGATCCTTCGGTGGAAAGATGGACAACCAAAGTGTCCCAACGGTCCAGCCCCAAAACTCATTTCTCAAGCTGGAACTAATTAAATTAAAACACCTCTAGTCAATTTTAATTCCTCGGTTATTCTAGAGTTACTTGTTAATTAAGTTACTCCAATTCTAGAGTGCGCCGGTATGTGAATACCAAATTTAAATTTCTTGAGTGTGTTTTACATTGTTATGTTGAGATAAGGAGAGTTTTGGTTGATCCATCTGAAATGTGTAACAATCGCCCGGAAGTACATATCGACGGAAAAATAAAGCTAGCTCCTAAAACGACTGGCTAGCGTCTAAACACAGCTCAAGCTCTACATGCTTTTCACCGTCTCTGCCAAAGCCAGTTCTTTTGGTGGGTTTCCTAACATCGGGTCGACAAAAACATCACTGCTTCTGGCTTCGGTCAAAACACTCAAATTAACTTAATTATATGCAAGAATAGTGAGCTCATGGCTGGGTCTCAGTACCCCCAGACCACGAAGTCATTCATAAAAACAGGGCTACTACTGTTTATTATATTACGATTGTTTTTGTTCAGTAGATAAAAATCAACATCTCCATTGAAAGATGGATCAACTCCTAGCTTCTCATTATCTGAAAATGAATTCGAATGTTAATTAAATTCAATTCAGGACATGACCAGGAAGCTAAAATTCATAAAAAAACAGTTTGAGTTCTGAGCCCGAGACCCCTCCGGATTCTGGAATAACGTCCTTATTTCTTTTAGAAGGCTGGACACGTCGTCCCAACAATTTTCACGTTCGTGTGAATTGCTCGGTAACGATTGTAGCCACATAGTCGTTACAACTCGGAGCGGTTTCTGATAATTTCAAATTCTATCTGTCGTTATGTCTTCGTAGTTGTTTCTACTGCAGCTATTTTTGTTCTGATTTTCTTCTGTTTTTTCTTCAAAATGGCCGTTTCAGAACTTCTTTGAAATGTGACATCACCATTCGAAATTATAAAAATTTAAAATACCAGAATATTCTGACCTTCACGGTTTGTCTAATCGTTCAAATAACGTTGCTAATCCGTTAAAACCATTAATCTTCCAGGTCAGATGTTCTTTTTTGGTCGATAAAAATTCGAATACGAAATTGCTTTTTCGTACATTCTGGTCAAATGTCACACACTTCCCGGACAGCCCGGTCAATGTATTCGTTGAGTCTCGTATTCTTTATCAAAATGGCACAGTGTCATCAAACAGAATTTAAAAAATGCACGAAAACAATTTTATCCACCTCCTATCAACTCACTGCAGGATATAAATGGCATCATACCACACTATTATAGCCTCTCAAATTCTTTCACTAATCTGCACTTTCGAGGATAAACTTCAGATAAAACATCTTTTTAGACTTTCAATGTCTATGTCCCGATTTAAAACTTTTTCTCCTAGACTTAAAAGTGTAGAAACGCAGGACAGTCCTGCCAACCCACAAACTAAAATTATCCTACTATGCTTATTCCTTTCAGAAATTTAGTTGTTATTGGTCCTGAATATTAAAACTAAGGAACTCGGCGGTTAGAAGGAACAATGAAATAATCTCCTTCTTCAAGAGATTACCCAAGCCTTTCATGTCACCACCAAGTGATCAGTTGTCCTAGTTGATTAAAAACAATCAAGCAGGCTGGAATATTTTAATATATTCTCCACTCAAGCCTCTCTAAATAAACAGTAAGTGTCTCTAAAGCCACTAACTAAAATCAAAATGCAAGTTTTTAAATGCAACAAACTCTTTAATCTTCAAAACTCAACTAATTGTTTTCTTTTCAGTTTCAATTGCAACTTAGTTGCTTTGTTTCTCATTTGAGTTTTTTGTTACATACAAAACAATTCTGAGTTTTGTTATCTTTTCTTTCGTCGCTTCTTTGTTTCTTCCTTTGTTCGTCATTTAGAAGTTCTAAAACTTCTAAATTCTTCTAATTTTCTTTCTTTTTGCATCTTTTTTTTCGACCATCTGTCAATGTTCCATCTCCTCCTCCTGCGTCATTGACTCCGCACTTTCAGTCTCTGTGTCTTGCAACACGTCGGTAGCTATTCTGACGCTGTTGGAAACAGTCCTCCAACACTCCTGCTCTTCTACTCTTTGTTTACACTTGGTAGAGGATCAACGTTAGATTCTCTGTTTCGGCAGAAGCTGTTGTGGAGGCACAACTTCACGTTTCTCTCCAAGTCTTCCTTCAACATCTCTTCGTTTTCCCTTCCGTCACATTCACTTGTTCTAGAAAGTTTCCAGGGTCACTTCGCACACTCTTTTTACGAACTCGGCTGATTTTTCTTCAGGATTTTTGGCCAGGCTTACCTCTTTCACCAAGTAAGCATGGATCTTCCTGATCATCACATGGCCGCGCTCGAAAGCATCTGCGCCCAAAGCTGCTATCCGAGGGGTTAAGTGCAGCCACTGGTTAGCCTCTGGTTTCGTTCTCAAAACCATCGCCTCCAGATGAGCTCTGGTCTCCTTGGAGTTCTCTCTTCTCTCTCTTCCTTCTCTTACTTCCATTCCCCGGAACCACAAATCGTTTGACAACGCTGCGATTACTCGATGGTCATCGTAAATTCCCGGCTTGTATCTTGTATCCAATCTAGAGGTGCTGATCGTCTCCGCGGTCGGATTGACAGATCCTAATCTTAGCCTAGGATGGATGGTTCTTCTCATTGGTGCTTCTCCCAATTGATCTTGTACATCTGTCCTTTGCCCCGGCTCGCTAGAGCTTTGCGGCCTGTAGGTCGTCACACCTGGGACCGTTCCCAAATGTGTTTCTAAGTTAGGGGGCACAAAGCTTGAAATTGCCGGTTCATTCGCGGTTTCTTCCTTCTTCAGCATTCCCGTGTCAAAGAGCTCGACTTCCATTCCATCCAATCGCTCCTGGAAGACTCGGTTCAACCAGGCTTGTCCTTCAATGCTATCAAAGTGTATCCCATCAGTGGTTAATCTGGCCTGATCCATAGCTCTCAGCTCATGTTCATTGTCCATAAGGATCAACCGTCCAGCATTCTGACTTGCAAGATTTCTCAGGATGTTGTTCCACCTGATGACTCCTTCAATATGACTTTTTCCTGTTGCTGTCAACGTCTTTGTGCTCATGGGTACGGTGCAGACGCTCAGTACCGCGCAGCTGAAGTTCTTGTTATTGGTCCTGAATATTAAAACTAAGGAACTCGGCGGTTAGAAGGAACAATGAAATAATCTCCTTCTTCAAGAGATTACCCAAGCCTTTCATGTCACCACCAAGTGATCAGTTGTCCTAGTTGATTAAAAACAATCAAGCAGGCTGGAATATTTTAATATATTCTCCACTCAAGCCTCTCTAAATAAACAGTAAGTGTCTCTAAAGCCACTAACTAAAATCAAAATGCAAGTTTTTAAATGCAACAAACTCTTTAATCTTCAAAACTCAACTAATTGTTTTCTTTTCAGTTTCAATTGCCACTTAGTTGCTTTGTTTCTCATTTGAGTTTTTTGTTACATACAAAACAATTCTGAGTTTTGTTATCTTTTCTTTCGTCGCTTCTTTGTTTCTTCCTTTGTTCGTCATTTAGAAGTTCTAAAACTTCTAAATTCTTCTAATTTTCTTTCTTTTTGCATCTTTTTTTTCGACCATCTGTCAATGTTCCATCTCCTCCTCCTGCGTCATTGACTCCGCACTTTCAGTCTCTGTGTCTTGCAACACGTCGGTAGCTATTCTGACGCTGTTGGAAACAGTCCTCCAACACTCCTGCTCTTCTACTCTTTGTTTACACTTGGTAGAGGATCAACGTTAGATTCTCTGTTTCGGCAGAAGCTGTTGTGGAGGCACAACTTCACGTTTCTCTCCAAGTCTTCCTTCAACATCTCTTCGTTTTCCCTTCCGTCACATTCACTTGTTCTAGAAAGTTTCCAGGGTCACTTCGCACACTC